CTTCTTCGGATGCAGTGGGCTGTAGTCCACGAAAGCTTATGCTCTGATAAATTTGTTAGTCTCTAAGGTGCCACAAGTACTCCTGTTCTTTTTGCGAATACAGACTAACACGGCTGCTACTCTGAAACCTGTCATTGTGTTATTACATCACCATCTCCTACATCCCACAACAGTCAAAATCAGAGACTAATAATCAATTAATAAAATCTTATTCAAGCGATACATTCCATGCCTACAATATTTCATTTTCTAGGTAAAGCTAAAGATTGTTCTGTTAACTGTACAGTTGGCAGACAAACACGCTACATCTTCCTATCATAAAACATGTTAGATATCTTGATTAGAGCTACATAAACAAAATGTAATTTGTTAGATAAATGAAAAAGCAATATTGTACTCAATGAAACAAGTCACAAATATTCTATTCCATTTTTTCCTCCTCATAAAAAAAAATTAAGCAGTGCATAGATAGGATTTATGGCATGCACCTTGCCTTCATATTTTTTCTTGTAAGGTGATCACTAATTGGAGAGACCATAGTTGATTATAGGTAAGGTTAAGATTTTGTCAGAGTTATTTTTAGTAAAAGTTATCGACATGTCGCGGGCAATAAACAAAAATTCACGGAAGCCTGCGACCAGTCTGGGGAGGAAGGGGGGAGTGCGAGAGGGGCTGACTGCCACCACAGGAGCTGACAGGTGCAGCCCTGCTATGTGGCTGAAGCCGAAGAAGTCATGGAGATCCTTAAAGTCACAGAATCTGTGACCTAATCACATCCTCACTTATCAGTAATGCTGAAACCAACTTGGCCTCTCAAGGGGAAATGGATGAGCCTCAAGTGCAGTGGATGGACGGGGAGATGATCTCAGACATGGAAACAGAGGAAGATTGCAGTTATTCATCATGGGTGCCATCCCAGCCATCTCCTGGGAACCTAGAATCCACCGTGACACTACTGGGCCTTCACTGTCCTGATCCTGAGAAGTATCTTGACCGAACCGGGCCAGAGAGATGAACCCAGAGAACATTGCCACAGGCTCTAGCTAAATCCCAAATACCACCTGGGATATTAGACTGTCAGTCACCCTGTCCCACTCCCATCATGTGTTTTCCTTCCTCACATTATTTCTTCTCTTTCCTATCTCTCTCCTTTTGCCTTTTACCTAAGGAGAGTCTGGTCAGGTTGGCCAAAAGTGCATATTTTGCAACACCGCTGTGAGCCTGTGATCTAAGAGGCAGATTATAGCAATGCCCTGAAAAGCCCAATGTTGGTACAAGTTTGCCAGATCTCAGTGTGGCTAATAAAACTGTGTGCCATGTCTGCTACACTGACTATTTGGTTAGTACACCTCTACCTCGATATAACACTGTCCTTGGGAGCCAAAAAATCTTACCGCAGTATAGGTGAAACCGCATTATAGTGAACTTGCTTTGATCCACCGGAGTACGCAGCCCCCCCCGCACGAGCACTGCTTTACCGCGTTATATTGAGTCGCGTTATATCGAGCTAACGGTGTACCACCATTCTGTATGTACTTTGAAACTCCAATGAAAGGCACAAAGTACCTTACAAACAAAGTCTCAAAATAACCCCCAGAGTAGAAGGCATATTCTCTATTTTCCTGATGGCACAGCGAGATTTATCGACTTTTCTCATATGCACAGAAGTTTGTGGCAAAGCCAGTAAGAGATCTTGGATCACCTGACTCCCAGACCTAAGCTATACACAAATTAGAATTACTGAATTTAACAAAAACAAAAACCCAGTTCCACTAAAACTCCAT